AGGAAGACTTAACATTGTGAAAATGTCAATACTGCCCAAAGCATTTTACACATATAATGCAATCCCAACTCAGATTCCAACGACATTCTTCAAAGAGATGGAAAAAACAATTACAAACTTTGTATGGAAAGAAAACAGACTCAGGATAAGCAAAGCACTGCTTAAGAAGAAGAATAAGATTGGAAACCTCTCACTTTCTGACTTCAAAATTTATCACACAGCTACAGTGGTCTAAACAGCTTGGTACTGGTACAATGAAAGATACATTGATCAATGGAACAGAATCGAGAATCCAGAAATTAACCCATCCACATACAGCCAACTGATTTTTGACAAAGTACCTAAATATATTGCATGGGGAGGTGATAGTCTCTTCAACAGATGGTGCTGGCAGAATTGGAAAGCAATATGCAAAAAATTTAAACAAGACCTTTACCTCACACCTTATACAAAAACCAACTCAACATGGATAAAAGACCTAAATGTGAATCCAAAAATTATGAAGGCTACCAATGAAAAAATCGGGACAAATATGAGGGCACTAATTCAGGGAATACACAGACTACCAAACATTTTGAAAACTACACAAACAAAAGTAGACAAAATAGATGAGTGGGACATACTAAAAATTTAAAACTTATGTGCATCAAAAGACTTCACCAAAAGAGTAAAAAGGGAACCCACAGAATGGGGAAAAATCCTTTGCAATGACTCATCAGACAAGGGACTCATTTCTAAAATATGTAGAAAACTACAACGCCTCTACAAGAAAAAGACAAATAACCCAATAAAAAATGGGTACAGGACATGAACAGACACTTCATCAAGGAGGAAATCCAGGCAGCCAACAAACAATGAAGGAATGTTCACGATCACTAGCATTAGAAAGATGCAAATCAAAACAGCAATTAGATATCATCTCACACCAACAATAATAGCAAAGATCAAAAAAGTAGAGGACAATAAATGCTGGCGGGGATGTGGAGAGACTGGGACACTCCTGCATTGCTGGTGGGACTGCAAAACGGTCCAACTTCTCTAGAAAACAATATGGCACTTCCTCAGAAGTTTGGAAATAGAAATACCTTATGATCCAGCAATTCCCCTACTTGGTATTTACCCACAAGAAATATAAGCCATAACACGAGTAGATATTGTTGTTTGTTGTTATTAAGTGCCATGGAGTCGGTTCCGACTCATAGCGACCCTGCACAGGGTTTCCGAGGCTGTAAATCTTTACAGGAGCAGAACGCCTCATCTTTCTCCCTCGGAACCGCTGGTAGTTTCGAACTGCTGATCTTGTGGTTCACAGCCCGATTCGTAACCACTACGCTACCAGAGCTCCTTAACACGAGTAGATATATGCACTCTAATGTTCATAGCAGCACTATTTACGATAGCAAAAATATGGAGACAGCCAAAGTGCCCATCAACTGATGAATGGATAAACAAACTGTGGTACATACACACAATGGAATATTATGCTACCTTGAAGAAAAACAAGGAAGCTGCAAGCCACCACATAACATGGATGAACCTTGAGGACATTATGTTGAGTGAAATTAGTCAGTCACAAAAGGACAAATACTACATAGGACCACTACTGTAAAAGACTAAGAAAAATAACCCATACTAAAGTGGGAGGAAGGATTCTTTGCTGGTTACGGGCATGTGGTATGGGGTAAGGGAAGGTAGGGGAAGGTGGATCACAGGGCAGGGAATAGACACAGGATAGTTTGGGTGCCAGGGAGGGGGGCAATACACAAGAAGGGAGAGGGGAATGGAAGAACAAGGCAGATGGGATAACAACTAGGCAGGTTTGCGTGGGCTAAGTGGGACAGAGGTAAATAATAATGTATGCACAACCTTGGAACAATAGGGCTCTGAGATATAGGGATTGAGACATAGTTGGAATGGGCAAAAGGGAGGAAATAATGTTAAGATACTTGGCTGTCTTTTGAATCTTGGTTTCCCTGGCATACCATTATAAAATAGGCACTTGAGGGGAAGAAAAAGGAATAGCTAGAAATATCACCATAGAAAGCTTAAAAGTCAGTCTTCTGCCTATAACTGATTGTTGTTAAGTGCCGTTGAGTCAATTCTGGCCCATAGTGACCCTGTATAGGGTTTCCAAGGAGCAACTGGTTTGAACCACTGATCTTGCAGTTCAAACGACTTTGCAGTCTGATGCATTAGCTCACAGCACCACACCAAGACTCCATAACTGATTGGAATACCTAAAATGGGGCTACAATGTGCCCAGGGAAGGAGGCTTACTGCGGAGCCTCTGCATTACATAAGACCATGGGTGGAATCCTGAACCCAATCCAGAATCCTCTGAGGTGATAAATTTCCACTTGGAAGGACAAGCTGACCAGCCTGGAGTGGCTAGAAGAGCAGAAGATACTTCTTGAAAGAAAGAGAGATAGGAAAAATTAAAAACTATAATGGCAGTCTGACTGATTGCTACAAGAACAAGCAAGTTGCTCGCCTAGAAGACATCAAGGCAAGTAGTCAAGTCCCCTCAGGGCAAACTCCCTTCCAAGAGTAAGACTCAATGGGAATACATGAGCAGACATGTGCTCTGATTGGTGACCACGTTCGTCACCGATAATGGGAAGTGAGGGAAAAACAGCAATGAAGCTGCTAGCTAAGCCCTACAACATTCAATAGACTCTTGTGAACCCGGATGGAGACCTGGTTGGCCAACAGTGTGGCAAGAGCTGGGGACTCTTAGGCCCAGAGTCAATGATATGGCCACAGAGGACTAGAGTGAAAAGTGAAATGTTCAGCTGATAAGAAGAGAGGGCATATGCACAAAAACACCCACACTTGCAGATAATACCCACTTGACCTAGCTTCAATGACTGGATGATCAGAGCTCAATTAGAAGAAGAAAGAAGAGGGAAAAAGGGGTAACCTGAAAACAATTTGATGAACTTGACCTACACCTATGGATGCAGTATCTCAAAAGAGGGAACAAATCTTTACAGCAAGGATCATTCCCAGCCCCTCCATACACAGAGTAGACAGGGATGGGCAACTTGGACATTGGCGACCCAAAATGGGGAGGGGGGGCTACAAAGGCAAGAAGTGACTGATTTACAAGCTTTCAAGAGGGGACCTAGATCCAGAGGGCATGGAGGAAGTTAGATTCTCCACTGAGTATTGTCCAATCTGTCTGGGCAAGGCTAATGAAAGGAGATGGGGATAGGTCTCTTGTGGTACAATAGTGAATAATTGTTATCAGGACTGACTGTGAGGATTGGAAATGTAAAGGCAGACATTTTGTAGCAAAAGGATGGGAGTGAATGACTTTGCAGTCCAGGAGCTGAAGTCCCTGGGACCATCAGGGGAGGAGAGCAGAGTGCAAGACCCTACCTAGAGAAACAGTGATGCCAGAGATGGAGGCAGAGACGATGACATGGAGAGATGGAGTGGTTGGGGACTCTAGACCTGGAGATGGAGAAGGGCTGTGTGCTGACAACTGGGGGACAGGCTTGCAGGTTATACCCTTTGATTGGTTGATGATGCATGGAGGGGATTGTAACCGTGGCACTGAAATGATATACGATAGGATGAATGTAAAATTAATGTTCTCCCATGTAAACTATCACACAGTTTACAATAATTCATTAAAAAAAAAATCACCAAGCCTTTCTTCTGACTCATCTCTGTTGTTGTTAAATGCCGTCAAGTTGGTTCCAATCTATATCGACTCTGCATAGGATTCTTCTGGTGAGCTTGAACTACCAACCTTACGGTTCAAACTGACTTTGCGGTCCGGTCCAACGCATTAACTCACAGCACCACACCAGGACTCCAGATGCACCTATAAATGGACACAAACATTCAGTCTTTCTGTTAGCTGTCAACTGTGTTAGCAGTCTGTACCACACAGAGACTCCATAGGGTACATTGTTGTTGTTGTTAAGTGTCATCGAGTCTGTTCCAACTCAAAATGGCCCTGTGTAGGATTCCCAAACATCAACTGGTGGGTTTGAACCAGCAACTTTGAGATTAACCAGTTGTGGCCAACGTTTATTGTACAGTGCCACTCAATACTGCTTTATAGTCTTGAAAGTGTGCTTAGTGTCTAGCAGCTAGATTTGAGTCCTGTTGGACTGTGGCTTGGGCTATGCTCCTTTACTCTCTGCTCTTTTATTTAGCATAAAATGGTAACAATTGCATCGATTCCTTTGTTGGAAATTAAATTATATCATAAAAGCATTGAATGCAGAATGTGTCAAGCACATTCGTTAACAGTGATTGAAATTCAGCATAACTTATTCTCAATTTTGGAATAAAAGTATTCACAGACGTAATGTACATAATTTGCCGAAGGCCACACAGTAAGTCACATTGATGGTACTCAGCCAGGTCTATGTTATTTCAAAGGCATACTTTCTTGAGCATTTTGGTCTCGAAAAGTGATCTTAAGGATACAATTGGCAGATAAATTTGAAGGCTATTTACTGTACAGTCAGTGTGTTTAAAGTTCTGGTTTGGCCTGGTTGTTATCTTCAAGTCCAATTTCTTTGCTCTCCTATTCCCATACCAAATCACTAAATTAAACCTTGTTCATTCACATTGTGGAGCAACCTCAGGGTAGAAATGTGGGCTGTTGACAAGTGAAGATAAGTTAGCCCCTGATGTCCAGCTGCCTCACCACTCAAAGATAAAAATAAATAGATTGCAATTTTAGGTAATTCCATGTTATAGAGTATAATTGTTCCATAAGATTTCTTTATAAAAGAAAATTGCCAGCCTTTTCTTCCTCAATGGTGCTTGGATTGAACTACCAACCCGTCTATGAGTAGCTGGGCACAAACTGTTTGCACCACCCAGGACCTTGCCTTCCCACTCACGGGGATCCATTTCAGGTGGGTGCACTGAGCTTGCACAAGGTTGTGAAGCTGGAGACGCTCATTTGATTGTATGGGGTCTGAGCTCTCCCTTTTGCTGAGACATATCTCATTGTGTGTGCTTTGTTTGTGTTTTAAATCAGTTTGCCAGATTACTATTTTATGATGGCAGAGAAGTTCCATGGTGCTGACAGTCCTCAAGGATGCCAGGGAAAGGGCAGGAGAGCGATCTTGAAGTCCACCAAGAAGGCATGGATCCCCCTGAATGAGCAGCTGCCTCCTGGCATGGAAGGGGACATCCACGGTAGCACCAACCCCACACAGGGTGAGAGGGGCTTCGGGGCTCTTGGAAATGGTTGGTGAGTGGTGCAGATGATGTGAGAACAGGGACTTCGCTTTGATGAAGGTCTGTATTCTTGGCATGAAGCCAAAAACGTCCATGCAGTAGACACTTCTGACTTGTCCCAGAGAAACTCAGAACTCAGACGTTTTTAGCAGCAATAAACCAACTCAAGAACACATTCTGCTTCTTCCCACTCTTGTCTCACCTCATTTTGAATTCCCAATCCATTTGAGGTCCATGCCAGAGGTATGGACTTCTTCCACAGTACCAAGCATTTACTTGAAAACCTGCTGGCTGAATCGTGCATGAGGCATTGAAAATGATTTTAATAATTTAAATATTGTTGTTGTTGTTAAGTGCTGTTGAGTCGATTCAATTCTGACCCATAGTGACCCTGTATAGGGTTTCCAAGAAGCAGCTAGTGAGCTTGAACCACTGACCTTGCAGTTCGAACGACTTTACAGTCTGACACATTAGCCCACAGCACTACACCAAGACTCTTAGTAAGTAAGAAATTGCTTCTTCTCACCACCTGCCCAATAATATAACTCTTTCATGATATTACCTCCTCATTGACCCATCATATAATTCTACCCATTCATAGTACTTTAATTGGAGACTAAGAGTCTCCCAAAGGAGCTCTGGTAGTGTAGTGGTTACGAATTTGGCTGCTAACCTCAGGGTCAGCAGCTCGAAACTACCAGCTGTTCCATGGGAGAAAGATGAGGCTTTCTGCTCCCATAAAGATTTACAGCCTTGGAAACCCTCTGCAGGGTCGCTATGAATCAGAACCAACTCTACAGCACATAAAAACACAACAAATGAGGGATACTATTGCTGATGTCCAATGGATCTTGGCTGAAAGCAGAGAATACCAGAAAGATGTTTAACTGTGTTTTATTGACTACACAAAGACTTTCTATTGTGTGGATCATGACAAGCTATGGACAACATTTCGAAGTATGAGCATTCCGGAACACTTAATTGTGCTCGTGAGGAATCTGTACCTGGACAAAGAGGCAGTTGTTCGAACAGAACATAGTAACATTGAATGTTTTAAAATTAAGAAAAGTGCGACAGGGTTGTATTCTTTCACCATACTTATTCAACCTGTATGCTGAGCAAATAATCCAAGAAGCTAGTTTATCTGAAGAAAAACATAGCATCAGGATTGGAGGAAGTTTCATTAACAACCTGCAATATATGATGATACAACCTTGCTTACTGACAGTGAAGAGGGCTTAAACTATTTACTGATGAAGACCAAAGAGCACAGCCTTCAGTATGGATTGCATCTCAATGTAAAGAAAACAAAAATCCTCACCACTGGACCAATAAACAACATTCTTATCAACGGAGACAAGACTGAAGTTGTCAAGGACTTCATTCTTCTTGGATCAACTATCAACACTCATGGAAGAAATTTAATGATGTGATGTATTGCATTAGGCAAATCTGCTGCACAAGAACTTTTTAAAGTGTTGAAGAGCAAAGATGTCAGCTTGAGGACTAAGGTGCACCTGACCCAAGCCATGGTATTTTCAATAACCTTATATGCCTGTGAAAGCTGGACAGTGAATAAGGAAGACAGTAGAAGAATTGACACCTTTGAGTTATGGTGTTGGAAGAGAATATTGAAAGTGCCATGGGCTGCCAAAAGAACCAACAGACCTGTGTTAGAAGAAGTGCAGCCAGAGTGCTCCTTAGAGGCCAAGATGGGCCAAACTTCGTCTCTCATACTTCGGACATATTGTCAAAAGGGACCAGTCCCTGGAGAAGGATATCATGTTTGGAAAGGCGGAGGGTCAGAGAAAAAGAGGAAGACCCCCAATGAGATGGATTGGCCAAGTTGCAACATCAATGGGCTCAAGTGTGGCAACAACTGTGAGGTTGGCCCAGGAACCCGGCAGTGTTTCGTTCTGTTGTACATAGGGTCGCTATGAATCAGTACCAACTTGATAACAACAGTAACAACAACAAATCCACAGGAGTCTGTGGATTTTACTAAATGAAAGGTTGACCTTCGAATCCACTCAGTTTTACCTTGGCAGGAAAGCCTGGTCATTTGCTTCTAAAAAATCACAGCCATGGAAAAAACCAACAACAAGAAAACCCTGGAGTGCAGTTATATTTTACACACATGGAAATTAGAATTCACACAATGATAGTGGGTGTAGCCCATGTTCACATGGCCTTTTCAGTTCACCTGACACCTTGTGAAGTGGTAATCCAAGGGCCTTACTGTTTACTAGGATAGAGTTAACAAAAATCAGCCTGGTGAAGCCTGTAGCCAATCGAAAGGGAAACAAATATTTAACAGGAAACCCGACCTTTACCTCCTCTCCTTTTTCTGGTTGACTCTCTGTTGAGTGCTAAGGATCCACCTTAAAAGACAGGTGTCTTCATAATGCAGGGTGCCTTTGGCAATCCAGGGACTCTAGTGCAATTTGTCCCTGGAATGAATGCAAATTTGGCTTCTAACCTGGCAGAAAACTCCTTGCAAATAAACAACACTGGCTGCCTGCCTTAGGTAAATGTTGTGATTCACTAAGGTGAGGTTCCATTGTGATTTATATCCAACAAGAAAAAGACAAAAGTCTCTATGCTTTTTCACCCCTCATATTCATGCCAGGTATTTAAAAAAAAAAAAAAAATTTTTTTTTTCTCTAACATCTTTTGCTTTTCAGTGATTTATTTGGCTTCCTTTTCTTTTTTTCTTTTTTTTCCAAAAAAAAGTTACTGTCTTTTGGCAAGTTTACACTGCATTCTTAGGAAAGGCTGATTATGCAAGACAGAAGGTTTTTTATTGGGGTGGGGGGCAGGGAATGAGCATACTTATAGAAACGTGCAACTAAAATGTAGAAATTAGAATTAATCAATGGTGACGGAATGATGGCATTAAGTCGTTTTTGCTGGCTGTATACTGGCTGACTGTTGTATTTCTTCTTCATTTGTAGATTTCAAACAAGAAAGCATTCGGCAATGGCTGGACTCTGGATTCTTGTAAGTGCCTCTTTGTGCCTTTATTATGAAATTATTTTTTTTCTCTAGTATTTGGAGACCTGGTGTACTGCTATAAGGATAAGCACTGGACTACTAACCACAAAGTTGGTGGTTCAAACCCACTAGCTGCTCCTCAGAAACTCTATATTGTTGTCCTTATGTGCCCTCGAGTTGGTTCTGACTTATAGTGACCCTGTATAGGGTTTCCAAGGAGTGACTGGTAAATTTGAACCAACTTTGTGGTTCAAACCAACCTTTCAATCCAGTGCATTATCCCAAAACACCACACCAGGACTCCAGAAACCCTATACAGTGTTGCTATGAGTCAGAAGTGACTCCACAGCACTTAACAACAAGTATTGGAATGTGTGTTAGTGAGGTTCTTCTCGTACTTCCAAGTGGGCTCACCTTTCTGAAAGGTCCTTGGGAGAAATGGTCCTGTCTCTTTTTAACAGCCTGATTGTAAAGATAGATTATTCTTCTATCCCTTCTCTGCTCTGGTTTTTCTGCTGTAAAGATCTATGAAAACAATATTAGCAGTCCTTTGGGACTGGGGAGATATTTTTTGTTTAATTGGGTGAATGGATGAAAACCCTACTATGCAAAAGTTGCATATCAGTTTAAAAGTGCAACATCTAACTCTATTTCAGTCTCTATTTATTGGTTTCCAAAAGTGCTTTTTTTAATAAAGCCTAACCATATATTTGCTTTCAATTGTTTAATAAAAGAGCAACTTGTTACCATTTATCTAAACACTTAATCTGACTTTCAATGATTTTGTTTCTTTGTAGTGTCTCTCTAAACGAAAAATTTCAGCAAGGCATCGACCACCCTGGTAAGACAAGAGAACCCAGAACAGCTATGATTTTGTGGACCTGAGTAGAGATGTATTAAGATATCTGTATGAATAAATCTTCTTAAAATGAGCACAGTTGGAGGTTCCTGAAAAATTCATTCAGCTCAATTCCTTCATTTAATGTAAAAGATGGAGTCCCAGAAAGGCCCATTTACCTAGGGGCAGATCAGAGTCTAGAAAACAGACTCTTTTCCAAATCCTAAGGCGGTTCAGACTGCCAAAAAACTGAGTTCTATGAGAGGCGTTTGCAAGGATATAATTAGTTGTTTAATTTTTTAATTGTTCAATTATAATGGTTCCATTTTTCCTCTTTCCTTGTTGTAGCTTACGTGTAAGTCTAGTTTCTTTCTGTTTTTTTTTTGTTGTTGTTGTTGTTGGTTGTTGTTGTTGTTGTTGTTTTTTGCTCCTAAAACCACACTCTTCTCCTCCTCCTTTTTTATTTTTAAAGGTTTTTATTGTGGATTGAGTGAAAGTTTACAGGGCAGATCATCAGTTTTACATTCAACAAATTATACACCTTGTTTCATTACAATGATTATAATCCCCTCCATGTACCATCAGTTAACAATATTTCTCTTTATTTGCCTTAGCTTTTTTTTAAACACTCAGGCATATATAATAATTTACACCACCAAAGGGCACATTCTGCAAGTCTGCCTCCTGGCCACCAGCTCTTAGTCCCTCTCTTCCCATGAATCTAGAGTCCTCAGCTGCTCCCTCTCTCCATGTCCCCACCTCTGCCTGGGTCTCTGGTGTGGCTGCTTCTCTGGATAACGTCTCACATTCCGATTGTGCTCTTCTCCCTTAATAGTCCTAGGGTCCTCTGTTTCTGGACTGTAAGATTAACTACTCCCGTTTTAGTTACAAAATTTCTACCTTTGCATGTGACAGTCACAATTGGTCATGACAACAATTACTCACTATTCTCTTCCCTCTAATGATGTATTTGTTCTCAGTAAGAACAAATGACTGAATTCTAAAGCAAACATTACAAGGTGTTCTGAGACAGAAAATGTATCACACTGAAATTTGATAAGAGCATTGTAAAAAGAATCATGAATCTATTTATGAGGGTCACAGTTTTCATCTTGATTCATAGACTCTAAGATGCCACAATTATAAAATGCACACATACTTTAAATACCTTTAAGTACTGATGTGGTGCTGTAGGATAAACACTAGACTGCTAACTGTAAGATCTGCAATTCGAACCCAGTAGCCATTCCTTGGAAACCGTGTACAGGGTCACTATGAGTCGGAACTGACTGAACAGCACTTAACAACAACAACCACAAGATAGAATTAAGGATCTCTGGTGGCATAATGAGTTACTCATTGAGCAGCAAAGTCAGAAGTTCGAATCCATCAGTTGCTACATGGGACAAATATGAGGCTTTCTGCTCCTGTAAAGAGTTAGTCTTAGAGACCCTTTATAGGGTCACTCTGAATCAATTCTGGTGTGTGACGCTATAGGATAAGCACTGGACCTCAAGGTTGGCGGTTCAAACCCACCAGCCACTTCTCGGAAACCCTATATGGGGTTACTATGAGTCCAAACTGACTCGATGGCACTTAACAACAACAACAACATGAATCAGTATTGACTCAAAGGCATACAACAAGACAGAAATATATATATAAAACAATTTTAAATGAAAGATAAAACATCTTGATTTACAGATGTTAAAATGTTAAAAAAGTGTCTAAATTGATAAAAAAGTGTTTAGATTCATAAATAATATGTATGAACAAAATTAATGAGAATGAAGAATTATTCAAAGGAAAACCACTAGGGCAATATTTACTTACTTTGCTGCTTTTAATTCTTTCACATTGTCCACTATCTTGAAGTCCTGGTGTGTCACTGTAGGATAAGCACAGGACTGCAAAGTTTGTTTGAACCACAAAGTCCTTGGTTCAAATTTACCAATGGCTCCTCGGAAGCTATGAGTTAGAACCCACTGAACTGCTCTTAACAACAAAAACTGCTATCTTAAATCAGGAGTCCTGGTATAGCACTGTACGATAAACACTGGACTGAAAGGTCAGTTTGAACCACAAGGTCAGCAGTTCAAACTCACCAGCTGCTCCTTGGAAACCCTATATGGGGTCACTATGAGTCTGAACCAAGGGCACTTGACAACAACATCTTAAATTAAGATTAACCATTGACTACAGGCCAGTTTGAATTTAGGTTCTTTTGCTTTCTGGTTTTGTTTCAAGCTAAGCGTATCACTAAAATGTCCTTTTCACCAAATCTCTTCATTTTTTTTAATACAATAGCACTTTGATGCCAAAATCACTAAAGATTTTTGCCAATCAATTGAAGTTAAGAGCTTCTGTTAATAACATGTCAAACTCACAGAAAGAAAAGCGTAAGAAGAAGTACAACCAACATTTCACCTCCCGCTGATGTTTCATCTGGCCTGGATCATGATGTTGAAGCCTGGAGCTGGTTCTGGTGTCATCAGAAACTGTATGCAAAACTTCACTTCCCAGAAATTAAAGACAAATCATGGCCATCCTACTAAGGGCCAAGTCAGTGAACTGCAAAGGCCTAGACATGAGGTAAAGACCTGAAGGAAAGAAAGATTGATACAATGGCTCAGAGATCAGAAATGTACAGTTTGATTTCGCCTGGCCCTTTATCTTCAGCAAGGTTTTTAACAAGACTGCCATGGCTTCTTACAGACATAATTGAGCCTCCGCTTTCACCAGGCCCTTTCTCATCTATCATATTTTGAATTCGGTGGCCTGTGTTCTCAATTTTGTTTTGCAGATGACAAATCTAGGACAGAGTGGTCAAGTGCCATGATTTGTGGTTACAGTTGGTTGGAGGCAGGAGGGGGAATGTGAGGCCCAGGCAATCTATTAGCCCCTCTGTATGCTGGGATCAACACACACCAAGTATCAGGAAGCCGAGCACCACACTGGGCAGTGAGGAGGCTGGGATACTGCCCTGAACCTGTGACCTAAATAAATGTTATAGTAATGGTGGTAGGAGATAAAAATGTGTGTGGTAACAAAACAAAAAAAATGAGGAACTAAAGAAAAGAAATAAATTGCTGCTGGGGAAAAAAAATCCAATCTGTCCAACCCCATAAATTCTGACATAATACAGTATGCTATATTCCATTTCCTTATGTTGCCAGGACAAATTATCGCAAACCTGGTAGCTTAAAACAACACAATGTTTGTCCTCACAGATCTGGAGGCTGGAATGTTTGAAATGAAGGTGTCAGTGGGGTCACAGTCTCTCCGAAAGGCTGGACTGAAGAAACCAAGTCTCTTCCAGTTTCTTCTGCTGGCTGCTGGCAATCTTTGTGGTTTCTTGGCTTTTGGGTCCATCACTCCAATCTCTGTTTCTGTCCTTACATGCCAGCTTCTCCCGGTGTGGATCTGTGTGTTCTCTCCTCTTCTTATAAAAACACCAGTCATTGGATTTAGGGTCTACCCTAGTTTGTATGACCTCATCCTAACTAGGAGTCCTGGTGTGGCACTGTGCATAAGACTGCAAAGTCATTTGAACTGCAAGGTCGATGGTGCAAGCTTACCTGCTGCTCCTTGGAAACCCTATACAGGGTCGCTATGGGTCAGAATTGACTCAACAGCACTTAACAACAACAATATCCTAACTAATGACATCTGCAGAGAACCTATTTACAAATAATGTCACATTCTTAGGTTCTAAATGGACATGACTGGTAAGGAGACCTTTTGAACTCGGTAAGAAACTCTGGCAGCACTGTGGGTAACATATTGGGCTGTTATCCACAAGATTGGCTGCTATCCACCAGCTGCTTCACAGGAGAAAAATGAAGAAGCTGTCTGCTCCCTTAAAGATATATAGTCTTAGAAAATCTGAGGAGCAAGTACACTCTGTCCTATGTAGGGTCGTTATGAGTCAGAATCAATTCAATAGTAATGGGTAAATTGAATCCAATCCTAGTGGAATTCATTCTGGAGCTGGTTTCCCTCATAGACCAAATCAGAGACTTTAAGATGCAGATTAACTCCTCTGAGCAATCACCAACTCCACAGGCAGGCAAGTTTGATACTAGATTTGAGCTCAACCAGAAGCAACAAAGATAATAGAATATTCAGTGTTTCACTACAGTCAAATAAGTCTCTAAAGGGATCAAAGGAATAAGACTATTGGGGTACCTCTTACAAGACTGCTGACTCATTCTTTATTCCATAACCAACAGGAAGCCGTGTATAAGCAAGCCTGGAAAGAAGAGTAAATGTGTGACAAACTCATTCCCTGTTCGGAGAACAAATTAAATGCCATAGGATAAGCAACTGACCACAAGGTTGATTTAAACTGCAAAGTTGGCAGTTCAAACTTACCAGTTGCTCCTCAGAAACCCTATACAGGGTCGTTATGAGTCAGAACTGACTCAATGGCACTCAACAACAACAACTCTCTGACTATGACTCCTGGTGTGGTACCGTAGGTTAACACTGGACTGTAAACCAAAAGGTTGGCAGTTCAAACCCACCAGCTGCTTCTTAGAAACCCTATACAGGGTCACTATGAGTTGGAACCAACTTAACAGCAGTTAACAACAACTCTCTGACTATGAGAGTGCCTTGTCATCATACTCTAATGATACACATATAACGAATGCATGTTCCAACACGTAGGTTTATAGAATACGCGTTTAGCAAAACACACAAGCATAATTGCTAGTGACTAAACTCAAACAAACTGATTCATGTAATTAACTAATTATATCTAATCTTTATCTAATTCTACCTTAATCAAATTACATCTTACAATAGCAAAGGAGCTCTGGGAGTGTAGTAGCTACGAATTGGGCTG